CTCCAGCTCCAACTTTGTCAGCACCACTGTGATGAACCGGAAGTCGTCTATAGCAACGAAATTAAAATTAATGTCTTATATACGACGCATGAGAGTGTATCCAAAGACAACTATCCTCTACACGCCACGAAACACATTGATAATTCTCAAATCTGTAGCTACCGATTTGTTAGCGGTTTGTTTTGTATCCATGAGTATCCTTCTAAATCCACTTCATTTTGCGGCTCACGGACACACATACATACATACACACGCACCACACACACATACTAAAAACAAGATACACAAACCGACACACAAAGTTAGCGCTTTATAAGATAGAAGGATAATTTGACCAACACTTTTTGAAGCCTTGAATAAGACATCGAAGAGCAGGTTTGCATGATTGTGTTTTTCTAGCTACAAAAGGCCTCTAAGGAGCTGAAGTCAGTAAAGATTCTATAGATGCACTTCGCTGATATTCGCAATAATCATGGGCTTTCAACAATCGTTAAAAAAGCCTAAATAGCGAGAGCAACAAAGATAAGATAGTGAGGATGGTCGAGTTTTGTCAATGCCAACGATCAGCTGAAGATTTAGGCTGAAGCACGTTTGCACAGAACTATCGAGCAGCTTATTACCAAACTGACCGCAATTGCTGTCTGGCTTCCTGTTACAGGGGAAGCGCTAGAAAATTCACGAAATTCTATTAGGTTTGCCACGACAACTCGCCCCTCTAAACTGTCGTCTCCCAATTTCTAACTTGTTTTATGCAATGAAGTCAACCTGCTTATCGCTCATTTGCGAAATGCGATGAAGAGCAAATTTTTTTGCTACAGCATACGTACTTCTGCTGATTGGATCGACCGCAATCAGGCTCCATAACTTTGCAAAGCTGAAAATGTACCGAAGGGAGGTTGAGGTGATCTTCATAAGGCCAGCGGTTGGTCTAGCTCTTCAGAACCAGGTGAAACTTTCAATGCGGGAAAGTATGCTTGACAGTATCACTTCATTATATAAACCAGAACTTTAGTGTGTTGGTGTGTGTGTCGTTCTGTCCGTCCGGACAGACCGCTAACAAAACCAGGGAGCACGGAAGGCAACACTTCGTGATGTTGATGTCGTGATCATGATATCACCAACAGCTGCTATATTAACAATGATAGAGCACAGTGAGCTTTACTCTACATGGTGCTGCAAGCTGGGAGGGGGGGGGTAGAAGGAAGGGGGCAAGGAAGGGAGGGACGGAGAAAGAGGGAGGGAAGGGGAGAGGAGAAAGAGATAAAGACATGCCATGCGCTGTAGAAGAGGGTATAGGGAGGGGAGGTGGGGGGAGGAGAGACTGCGGAAGAACGACCATTTTAAGAGTAAAGTCTATATCAATGTTGACGTATGATTCTAACCTCATGTCGTGATTGTGGTAACACCCACAACGGCTACAAAAACACCGAAAGAGCACACTCAACCGGGGCAGCCGAAGTCGGCGGGCGAGGGGAGTAGAAGGGAGGGCGAGAAAGCAGAAGGGGTGGAGGGGGAGAGAGGGAGGGAAGAGAGGAGAAAGTGTGGGAACATAATGCTGCCAGCCACCGGAGAGGAAGGGTATAAGGATGTATAACACATTAGTGAGGTGGTTACTGGAGACATCATGCTGCTATTTTAATTATTACTTTTACGCTTCCTCGAATCCGCTTTCATAGCAGTTTCAAAAACTTCATACTCACTGCTGATTTTGCACTACTCGACCACCTGTCTAATCAAGATGACATACTCAATATATCTTGCATATAGCCTGTAGAAAATGATATTACCCAGAGAGGCGCAGGTTGAGAGCTGTAATCGTTCATGTGTAAGGCCTAGCGTTGTCCTAGCTCTTCAGAAACCAGGTGAAACTTTCAATGCGGAAAGTATGCTTGACAGTATCATTCATTATATAAACCAGAACTTTAGTGTGTTGGTGTGTTGTGTCGTTCTGTTCCGTCCGACAGACCGCTAACAAAACAGGGAGCACGGAAGAACACTTCGTGATGTTGATGTCGTGATCATGATTCAACCAACAGCTGCTATATTAACAATGATGAGACACAGTGAGCTTTACCTCTAACATGGTGCAGCAGCTGGAGGGGCGTGGGGATA